AACGAGCAAGAGTAGAGGTCGGGACTGGGAATGATGGATTGCCGAACGTAGATTGATGCGTGTTAGAGTGAGCATCATGACCATAGCCTGCGTACAAATCAGGGTTTGGCCTATAGTCTTCAAGAACATCCTCAAGATAAGATTTGAAGCAAGAGAACATACAGAAAGCTCACCGTTGACATTCTCATCACGAGAAAGGTTCATAGAGCTTATCTCCGGACTGGCCGCGTTGCTGTGCGAGATTGAGAGATTTTCCAAGTTCACTGAGCTTACATATGGATTGGGAGGATATGTATCAGGGAACAGAGTTGAAGAGTGCTGAAGATTAGGCAGGGATGATGGTGGCATTGTATTGGGTGAATTGAAACCACCTCGACAAGGCTCTCCTGCTTCCCGAATCAAAATCAAATCATGTTCAATTGAAAGAAAACCATCCTACTGGTGGGGGAATTTCTGGAACGGAAGTTGGCTGAGGGGGAGTATGACGAGGCCATATTTGAAACTCGGAGTGTCAGACTTCGCAATGCTCTTATGAACGTTCATATATCTTCACCGTGGACGTACTTTCACAGGCTGGTCACAAGTCTTGACAATCTGGACAGATCTTAGCTGACCTGTATCAATTATCTGGACGTCGCGAGTCATCGTGATCTGTAGCAGCGTGTACATGTACTGGATGCTCCATGTTGCAATCATGTGCGCTTTGTCCAGGGGTTCGAATTCGCGATCGATAATCATACCTTTTCGATGTGGCCAATGAGCGTGCCTGCATTGCAGTTCTAATGCAAAGGTACATTCTCACTATCATTAAATAGGTCAAATTTGGGCTGCAAGTTCAAGATATGACTTTCTAATGAACCCTCGATTTTAGGTGCAAGGAAAACAATATTTCGAGACTTTAAATTCAGATACGAGCTTCACTACAGCTGAAAAGAACTACATTGTGGAGAGTTGATACATTCGCTAAAAAACAAAACCAACTTGAACATTTGCAAAGAAAGGGGACTGAAAATTGTTATCAGCAAAGGAACCTGTAGCTTATGGACACACCCACCAGGATCATCTCTGGAGGAGGATATCCGGTGTCGACGGCCTCGGTGACCCTTGATAGGTAACTGTAAAGTGAAGTGATACCGATGGATAACTATTTATTTAAAAAAAATAGGCGTACAGTTGAATGGCTAACTCGAAGGTCTTCTTTCTGGCAGTAGGACGAGAAAGAACCGGAACCCTGGTTCCAATTTGGAACACCGCCAGCTCTCCGCGCCAGGGTGTACTCAGTTTGACCTTGAGCAGAGTTTGGTTTACTGCCATGGTCGGTTCACTATAGCTGATGATGACAATATTTGTGCCCTCGACCGTGACGCGGGCATGATGAAGTTTGGGAGCGAGGTTGGGTTTGGGTTTGAATAGGCCCATCACATCGATTTGGTCGATGTTCGGGCTTCTGTCGTCAGGAGCATCGTCCATCATTGGAAATGCGCAAAGGCGGTGGCCAGACGTGTTGTACAAGGAGTAAAGATATCTGTATGCAGCGACATTGAGGTGCTCCTGAACACTATTAGCATATTCAAGAGGAGTATTATTGAAAACTAACCCCATCAGTCGCGGGAACGGCATCGCAATCCATCTCCACTAGTGTATTGTCCCCCGCTAAGTCAGACCTTGAAGAATGGGGGAGATGGTTGACGTGTGAGAGACGTCCGCTACAACGAGGTGCTGAAGCTGTTTCCTGAGAGAGCTCGAGAGGTTCATAGGATGTAGCGCTGAGGTCGTAAGACTTGTACGCACCATGTTCAAACAATGAGTTTAAAGTGGGTTTGGGATCTGGGACGCGGACATATGCAACTTTTGGGGAATCATTTATATACCTGGAAGCTGTCTAGTCTACGGCTTGGACATGTGTTCACTCAAGGGCCTTTTAGTTTTCAGTCAAGTCGGTCATGATCGCGCATACCTGACATATGCGCACATCCGCATCGATATCTCGACTCTTCTGGATGATCTGCACTCTAACCGTCTTTAGTATATCTCAACACGAGGCTAAAGACATGAGGCTCAGGCTATAGCTAGGACGCGGAATGTACGAGTTCGAATTGGCAGTAAAGCTAAAGCTAGCAATACTTTTGGTGTCCTTAACCTGGAGAAAGAACAGCCCAATTTTGCTAACCAAGGAGCTCTGGGCTGCAATATCTGCTAGTTGTTATAATTACACGTCTAGATCTCAAGTATTTGTGGCTGGTGCTTTATCAATCGGCTGGCCCGCTGAGCCGGCTCGGCTACGAAAAGGGACTACGTGTTTAGCGCCCCTTACCTTGTCTTCTATTCTAACTAGATCAATGCATGTGCAGAGGGAACTGTCACTGTTTCAAATTCCGAAATTTTTTGGGGGTCTCTGGACGTGAGATTCACTTCGTTCTTGAATCCCCATTCTTGCCTCTCCACCATCCGACTCTCATACTATGCGTTATCCTATGAATCATTTGGGTACCAAGCTTGTAACAACGGATGTCCCTCTTTTGAAAAGTGAAGGACAAGTTAAAGGGAGCGGTGCTTCATTTGGCAAAATTGCTTTCTCGCCAGATGGCAAGCTTGTAGCTATTGGTGACGCTAGTGGCCGCTTCACAGTAAGTTACATCTCCATCATATCCTTCCGGTAAACTCACCAGTATTCTTTCGTAGATTAGACGCACTTGGACTACGTGGGGACTCCTTAGGACATATGAGCTCGGGTCCAAAATTCGGGACATATGTTGGCACCCCGTCCAGTCAGACACCTTGCTTATCGGCTGTGGGTCAGGGAATTTTTATTGCCTAACAATGGAAGAACAGGGTGTAAGAAACTCGATACCTCGCCGAACTGAGCTATGCTGATACTGAATGTCAGGAGAAAGTCATTCGTCTATGCTGATACTGTTTACCCAGATTGTATCCAGATCAGAAAATCAAACCAGTCCATCACGCAGCTCTTCATCTTGGAGACTTATTAGAACTGTTCAGACCCGTTCATTCACGAAGTGCTCCATTTTATGAGCGATACATCAACTTTTTACACCGAGTGAACACCAACCAAAAAATAGGTACATATATGTTCGATTTCAATTATCATTTCAACCTCATTTACTGATTACTCGTCAAAGGCGATTTGGAGGAAACATTCTTGAAGACGTCTATCTGTACATCCAATCTTTGCGCCATTCTCGCTGATGATGAGAAAGTGCGCCAACTTGTTAATGAAATGATATCGAGCCTAGATGCCATCGCCAAAGAAGATGTTCGAGGGTCTCGGCTTGCGGCTATGTTGGACCCTACTCTGTCAGGGCACACGACTGATGCGGATTCGATACCTTTCATGCTGGGCAAATCAGCTTACCAACTTCTTTGTGAAATCATTCTTAGGCATCGCAACGGCGACTTGGTCAAACCTACTCACCAAGCGATATACCTCAAACAAGTTTCTATTCATGGGGTCTCCTACGCCACCTGCTCATCCCGTGCTTTTCGAAATAGCACCGTAATGTTTCGATTGCATGTTGTCTCACCGTACACACCAGAACTCCATAAAGCAGGGGTGATTGATGCAATATTCAAACATTCACATGGTGGAGTTGAAAGCTTCTATCTGATTGTGCGAGAATATCTCCCCTTGGACCCTACCAGTGGATGCGTGGATCCTTTCCGGCAGTATGGGTTTGCAGGAGGTTATCTTTGTAATCGACAGCTGACAAGTCTGCATGTCCTCGAGCTCAATCAGGTGATTTCGCACTTTGCCCTAACAAAGATGCGACAGGAGGGATATCAACATCTCATCCATGTTCTGCCAGTAGATCGTGTAAGTCTAGCTATCATGATCCGAAAAGAAGTTCTAATCAAGTTCTAGTGCATGTTAGCATTTTCTGTTGAAAACACATCAATGTAGGCCAGAAGTCCCTCAACTCGATTTCGTGGCTGGATTCATGGGTATGGCCGGGGAATGTTAAGTGTACAATGCAGAACGGATGTACTGTAGGTGATACAACCCCCAATTCATACTCTATACCCGCGGCTTGAATTATGGCCGAAACATGTCTCGACAAGGCCGCCTTCTTGTCCGCCAAAGCAGATGGTCGGTGGGAATGCTATGCAACAAGAGAAAGTCAAAACTGTCTTCCAGGAATGGGTGAAGTGTGTTAATGTCAAGCTCACCTTTGTCGCCAACAGCAACACTGCCATTCGTATCAATTTCGATACTCGCTCGGGCTCTTGGCCTCAACAACGCCAACGAGAACACAAAGAAAACAAAGAGGATGGTGACGTCGAGGGTCACAGTACCCCTGCCGATTTGTTGGCCAGCATCTGCTCTATAAGTAAAGAACACTGCACGAAATACGTTCAACTCGGCAATACATTCAATCTCTTGCATGCCGCTACATCTTACGTCAGCACACATCGATAGAGCATCGGGGTGGCAGGTGTTTTGAACAAGTATGGAAAGCACAGTTGGGCTCGATACCCCGCACTTTGGACCTCAAAACACGTCGATTCTAGATCTATGCCAAATCCTGACCCAAGTGATATAGCTGCACTCGATGAGATACCTACGAAAGCTCGTGACACCGAGATTGATCAGGTTGCTGAAGCCGCTCGTTCCGAGCTCAGAAGACAAGCGCGAGAAACAACGAAGAAAAGGAGAAGCCACATCGGCCAGACAGCCAAGAGGTTATGGATACCGACGAGGAGAAAGCCAAGGAAGCGATGATCGACCAGCCAAAGATCGTTTCTTCAACGGCCAGGCTTTACCTAATGACTTCCAGGCACTGGCTACGTGCAACAGATGGACACGCACCTGCCGATGACGACTATCCGGGAGGCGTAAACTACGGGGAGATTACACAGGTAAGTCGGTGAATACTCACATAACGACAAAACTGACGTCTTACTATAAAGAGACTAAGCATCTGCATGCCACACATGGCCAAATCTTGAGTGAACACATGCCCTGAAGCTACAAATTCAGAGCATTGTTCCATGCCTGCCCTGCGAGCAGCCTTGTATGCTTCTGAGATAACCAGCGCGAAGGACTTGGGCCGCAAGAAATTCGGAACGGTCGCTTTGACGCGATCAAACCTTTCCTTCAACCATAGTGCGGGTTTCACTAGATTCGGGAATTCCGCCATTTGACTACAACATAAGTATGAGAGCGACTTTCAAAGGACCGGATACGCACTGGGTCAAACGTTGGTGGATGTAATCGAGTGCCCAACTCCCGTCTCTCAGGTGACCGCACAGGGGGTGTCCCAAGTCGTTATAACGCATGATATGCTTCAGCGGATGCATACAACCTTCCAAACCGCAGTATACCATCTTACCCAAGTTGGGCACATCATATGCGCTAAAGCACCTCCAGTCGCGTCCATCATTGATCTGTATGGTCGTTTTGCTGCAGAGAAGCTTACCAGACGAATCATACCCCATGCGCGTGTTCTCAAAACCGGGGTTCACAGCGCTACCCCATATCTCTTTAGTGGAGCGGACGTTGCGTTGATACCATCTCGAGATGAGCCCTTTGGTTTTGTAGTTGTCGGATTCGGTAGGAAAGGTGCACTTGGTGTAGGAGGTTTGGGATTAATGCTGGGTTGGGTAGGTGTCATATCGTCGTTGATAACGCGTGATAGCTGGAGGGTGGGGATAACGGCCATCTCTCCCTTTGGTAGGCGCTCATGGAGGAGTTCTTGGCTGCTAAGAGAGCTATGCACATAAATCGTCGGCACGGATGCGGTCATCTTTACCTATAATACACTCAATTCAAACAACCTTTGTTTGCTGTGAGCACCCCGTGAATGATTGCATAATGTCGGTCTCACACTCGTTGATGGGCAGCCACTGACCCAACCTTACTTGAAGCCGTCTCAACCTCTATGCGTCTCACTATCTACTGCCGTCCTCCTCGCTGGTTTCCGGAGAGATATCAGGCACAGGCTCTGAGACTCGTTCACCAGGCAATGAGTTCCAGCGTCAAGGATGAGCTCAATGCCAAATTCGGGGTCGACGACTGGCTCATGATTCTCCAGTGCGTTTTCGTCATCTATAGTATTTGAAAGTCCGGTTCGGTCCGGTTTTTTGATGCCCAGGGGCGTTAACCGTAACCGTAACCGGTCTGCCTTTTCCCCAGAAGTCAAAAGACCAGACCGGACCGCAAAAAGACCGCAGACTGCGGTTTTTTGCGGTCTATAGACCGGTTTCGGTCTGCATCAGTTTTAACCGGTTTATGACCGGTCTTTAGGCCAATATTTTAAAATTATGAATCGGTAAATTTATTAACATCTCTAATAGCTTCAAAACGAGCCCAAGAACGTTAAATTCCGTTAGGAATTAGTGCTTCTATAAAATAAGTCTGGTACATCTATTATTCCCAAAAGTAATTTACATTTTAATTCATATCTCTCTCGTTTTTTTACCAAATCGTACGTTCTTGGGTGCGTTTTAAAGGGTATTTAAGGGGCTACAAAAGACCGGTCCAAACCGGTCTTGACCGGTTCACGTTAACCGGTTTTTTTGCGGTCTTTACATTTCAAAAATAAAAGACCGTAACCGCAGGTCCGGTCTTTTGCGGTCTTGGTCCAGTCTGGTTACAGTCTTTTTCCAGTCATGAGACCGGACTTCCAAACACTAGTCATCTAGAACTCTTTTTTTGCACTAACATTCGTTCAAGCGACCCGCCACACCGTTCCAGCTTGAAAGCGGGGCGCGTTCACCCGACAGGCGATCACATAACGCTCTGGGGTTTCCAACGTGGTTACAGCCAGTCACTGTTCTACATGCACATCTACGTCGCGAACGACAACGCTGTTGAATGGGGCGAAGATGATCGCAAAGTGTTCAGCCCGGCGTATTACAACTATTTGTGGAGTGGATCCGGAGATCAGGTCGATTCACTTATCCTAGCTCTTCGACATGCCCTTACCTTCTAGTTTTCTCTCTCTCTAGATATTTGAAAACGACGATCACACGCGTATGAAAGATGCGTAAATCTAGATCTTATGGTTTGAGCCCACAACCCAGATCTACGTGCACGTCAGCATCAACATTTGCGACCGATTGCCCAGCACTGTTGATATAACACCTACTTGCGTCATTTCTTGCAGCCACAATTCCTACAGTTTGATCATGACTATAGCCAGTATATATATACCCACACCCCACTCCATTCGTACATATTAATTTCGCACTCATAAATTTGTACTGCTCAACAGTTAACACAATTCTTGATATTTACTAGGGATACAACAGGATACAACGTCAGTACTCATCTTACCACGTAATCTATTTTTAGCAATCATCGGGGCTGCAATCCTTTTCTGGAAATCATCGGAGCTTGGCGTGACTCAATTTTGCCACGTTTTGGCCACATTTTGATCGGTGGATAAATTGCTAATATCTTCACCTCTCGAGCACCACAGAAATGGTAACCCAATTGGAAATTCATCTCAGGGATGTATTCTGGTATTAATTTTAATATATTCACTCCCTGTTTCGGTGCCTGTGTGTTGAATATACTGTGATTATCTTCCCCTTTTCTCTACATGAATCAAGCAGGACAATTTATAAATAACTTCCTGTTCATGATCATGGATAAAACCTAGACAATTGAGGGCATAATTTTAAATTTTTTCAAGTTTTCTCTAGCGCCTTCATGATAAAACAAGATTTTATAATATTCTGTGTTTATTCACATTTTTCCCACAGCTTAAACAAGCCCACTCCCCCAGTGTCTGTGTCTAGATTGTTTTCACATGGTAATGTTGATAGGCGCGCTGATCCGTTGATCCGCGTTGCCATCAACCTTAAGCTCATGATTCCCGAGGTAGATTTTTAATAGAAAATCTTTATCTTAGTTACTTAGAGCGTGTTAAAACTCTTTAATAACATTATCACATCTCGTATGCAATGAGGGTGTTCCATTGCGTGAGATCGCAAAAGGAACCAAGTGGCTTCTTAATATCTTGTTTTCACGTGCTTGTGGCTGAACGCATCACTTTTGCAGAGCTTCACATCCACTGGGGTAGACCATTCTACGTAGACTGATGGTGGACTCGGCCTTTTCCGACTTTCCACCAGCCTCATGTCAAACAGCTCATCAATCACGGACCGTGTTATTTAGCCACGTCCCTGAACCTGCCCACCTTTGTCGCGCCTTCTTCCGCCCATCTTTGTTGCACCTTGGCCCGCCTTTTTCCACCCATCCTCGTAATAAAATGCTACTGGTGTATTTTGGTTGACCTAACAGGGCCATTCAAAAATGAGCACAGCTCGCAGCTTGAGACGTAGCAAGAGCCATCAGCTTACATAACGTAGATTTAAGTGTCCGCTCAGGGCGGTATCCGTTTGTCACGCCAAATTTAACATCGAAGTTTCCTCATCGTTGTTTGCTGCTCGCCGTTTCCAACGATGAGCTTGAGTAAATCTTTTCTTTGTGGCTCTAATTTGGCGCACTCTTCAGCAACTCATAGCTAGAACTCAAATATATTATTTCCAAATTTTCTTCAATTTGTAATTGAGGTAAAGATACCCTGCTAGGTTGAAGCTGATGACACCAAACGGTGCTGGAAGTGTTTTGGCGACGTGGCGTACAACGAGGGAGAAGACCAGAGAATTCCAGAGTGTGTCAAATCAGGGGTTAGTAAAGATGAGAGAGCTGGACCCTGGTGCCTGTGCCTTCTCTGTGGACTCTGTAGACTGGTCTACCCCAGTGGCTGACATGCCCTCCACTTTTGATGCATATGCGGGAATTGCCGTACATGGCTTCCTCATAGCCGCAAACTCGTAGTGATCGTCTTTTATTTGTATATTGGATAACTTCCCATAAGGTTTAGAAACCTAGATTATTTTTCTAAACTGACATGCCGCCGTGCCGTTTGCCAAATGGGTCACAATCTGTCAAAGTTGAACTCCGCTTGTCATTGAACACCCTCTTCTAGATTTTAATCTAGACGAGGCCCCCCCCCCCTCTTCTAGTTCTAAATCGAGTGAATAAACCCTTTTTTCATTGTCCGACATCAATCGATCTCGCTTGGCCCTGTTTACATCTCGTTGATCTCTGCTCATAGAGTCGTCTCTCTCGAAGACGCCTCACAACTAACGCGCCTTCTGCGCCTGCTCAAACCTCACCAATTTACGGAGAAATGTACAAGTTGCAAAGTGGTAGGTCTTCCGAAAAGTTTTTGACAAATTTTGACCCTCAACAAACACCGGTATCTTTGCAGAGAGCGGATACTTGACTTGTAGAATGCAGTCCACGGGTCATCGCTGACGCAATGGTGGAGATGGAGGAGGTGAATATGACGGGTTTTCTCCAAGGAGTGGTGTTAATGGAAGATATAAGTACGTTGGCGATGTTTTATGTCCTTCAGTTTCAAATTCACCTCAGTCACTCTTTTTCAAGCCTACTACTCTCATTTATTACCCTCCTTTTCGATGTCTAGTCCCGAAAATACCACCCAGCAACAAGCATACATCGACGAGAATGGGAACCATTATTCTCACCACTAGTGGCTACCACTTTATTTCTATAACCTAGACCCAAGCCTAGAGGGTCATTTCTATAACTTAGACTTAAGCCTAGAGGCCATATCTATAATGCTTAGGATTTTTTGAAAGGCATTTCAAATGTAGGCCTGTGTATTTCATAGTGAATTTTCCATAGATACCCAGCGCATTTTCTGCGAAATTTCAAATGCAGCCCTGGATATTTCATTGCGATTTTTCAATAGATACCCTGGGCATTTCATTGCGATTTTTCAAATGTATCCCTGGGCATTTCATTGCGATTTTTCAAATGTATCCCTGGGTATTTCATTGCGATTTTTCAAATGTATTCCTGGGTATTTCATTGTGATTTTTCAATGGATACCCTGGGCATTTCATTGCGATTTTTCAAATGTACCCTGGGCATTTCATTGTGATTTTTCAATGTATCCCTGGGAATTTCATTGCGATTTTTCAATAGATACCCTGGGCATTTCATTGTGATTTTTCAAATGTATCCCTGGATATTTCATTGCAATTTTTCAATAGATACCCTGGCGCATTTCATTGCAATTTTTCAAATGTATCCCTGGATATTTCATTGCGATTTTTCAATGGATACCCTGGCGCATTTCATTGCAATTTTTCAAATGTATCCCTGGATATTTCATTGCGATTTTTCAAATGTATTCCTGGGCATTTCATTGCAATTTTTCAATAGATACCCTGGCGCATTTCATTGCAATTTTTC